AAACAGGTCTACTGTAAAGAAATGACGTCATTGCCATGACCGACTCCAACAATTCCTTATTTGTGTACCTTGTTTCGCTTAATCGCATTACTTTATAAGGCGAAAAATACTTTCTATGCCTTACATCAACGTGTTAGCCCGGTTTGAATTTTAATAGAAATGATTTAGATGATTACTGCACGATAAATGATTTAAAATCTCATCAACGAGTATGGAGTCAACTTAGTATGTAAATGTATTCACAGTACAAAGTGCTTTGTCGTTCCGTATATTATCAATAAATACAACTAAAGATAATATGTAAATTTATCAGACATATTTGAATAAAAAATATTTTAAATTAATTTTAACTAATAAGATAAATTAATAATATTATTAATTATTCCTGCAGTCATTGAAACTTTGTAAACCGATAGTAATATGCTTTTTGTGAATGTTTAAGCAATGAATCCAAATTAAGAACTACAATTTATTTGCTAACTTTAAATATAATGTTTAAATAATAATTTTAAAATCTAATATTTTATAAAAACACGTCTTAAACTTTTCTTTTGACTAGTACTGATGAACAATCCACTGACTCTACAGGCAGACCGTTCATCTTTTACTTCTTCGCGAGTCGCACTGTAATGTTCCTTCTGGAGGGTTGCGCGTATTTTCAGAATTACACTGCCAATAGTTCTCCAAACATTAAAAAAAAACTGTTGCACACGAGAGAGAGAGAGAGAGAGAGAGAGAGAACTAGAGAGGTAGGGAACGAGAGAGAAAGAACGAGAGAGAGAACTAGAGAGATAGAGAACGAGAGAGAGAGAGAGAACTAGAGAGAGAGAGAGAGAGAGAGGGAGAGAGAGAACGAGAGAGAGAGAGAGAGAACGAGAGAAAGAGAGAGAGAAAGAGAGAGAGAACGAGAGAGAGAGAACGAGAGAAAGAGAGATAGAGAACGAGAGAAAGAGGGAGAGAGAACGAGAGAGAGAGAACGAGAGAAAGAGAGAAAGAGAGAACGAGAGAAAAAGAAAGAGAGAACGAGAGAAAGAGAGAGAGAGAACGAGAGAAAGATAAAGAGAAAGAAAGAAGGAGAGAAAGAGAGAGAGAACGAGAGAAAGAGAGAGGAACGAGAGAAAGAGAGAGAGAGAGAGAACGAGAGAAAGAGCGAGAGAGAACGAGAGAAAGAGAGAGAGAGAGAGAACGAGAGAAAGAGCGAGAGAGAACGAGAGAAAGAGAGAGAGAGAACGAGAAAGAGGACGGGAGAGAGACAACGAGAGAGAGAGAGAGAGAGAGAGAGAGAGATATTAAGTGAGTAAAAGAAGAAAAATCATTTCTCATGATAAATTTTCTAAATGAAGTCCACAACCACAATTACTCTTTAAAGATTTCCTTCCATAATAAAAAAAATCGAAAGGCAAGGACTGTAGCGTACTACATCGGTAGCTGTCAGAATCAGCCTGTTTAATATAACCTCACTTTCCCCAGAGAAATTTTAACGATTCAGGAAGGATAAGCCCCGCATAAAAAAAGATCCCCTGTTCTTGACAACATGAAAAACATTCTTCATAAAAACCTACAACAAAATGCCTTAATTCACCTAACATATTTCTTCTGATCATGATTCTTGGTATACCTATCGCTGGCTAACCTCAAAAGTTACACTCATTTTGAAACCGGGCAAGTTTCCATCCGACTGAAATAGTTATAGACTTATTAGTCAATTTAGCTCTGTCAGCAACGTAGATGAACGTGTTATGCTCACCCACATTGCTGCCTATCTAAATTAAAACAGTTTGACTCAGGCCAGGACTGTCTACTACTGCCAGGATAGTAGATGAGTAACCATAGCCTTTTATTTTACATGATTTTGATCGACACACAAAACGTCTTTGTCACTAATTTTACAGCCAATACACTGACGGGGTTTAAACTATACTCCCTACATAAAAAAATGCCACGGTGATGAAACAAGGACTTCGACCTCCTCACTCAGCCATCTACCAGACTTGAAAGCTTCTCGTACCTTCGAATTAACATGATATAAATACCACTCCTACCTCTTTTACAAACAATTCCGAGGTTCCTTTCGATCATCTCTTTCTCAACCGAAAGACAGGGCTGCTGGTGTTCCTCAATGCTCTATCCTTGGAACCATCCTGTTCTTGGTATATTTTAACACAATACCTTTAAAAAAAATGGAAAAATTGCTCTTTACGCTGACGATATTGTTCTTTATTTTTCTTCTTGGAGGATAAATACATAATCCAACTGCTTAACCTCGCAATGAACTGCATGGGAAATTTCTGCGATCGTTGGAAAATAATACAACGGAGGCAATAGTTTTCAGCAAGTATTTGAACATTGCTGTATAACAAAGTCGAAATTTAAGGCGTGGCTGTGTTGTGGTCAAATATAATATGGCCACGATAGCTACGATTTCTGATATTTTCCCTAAAAGAAAAATAGAGTAATAAAATCATTTNAAAGAGAGAGAGAGAGAGAGAGAGAACGAGAGAGAGAGAACGAGAGAAAGAGGGAGAGAGAACGAGAGAAAGAGAGAGAGAGAGAACGAGAGAAAGAGGGAGAGAGAACGAGAGAGAGAACGAGAGAAAGAGAGAACGAGAGAAATAGAGAACGAGAGAAAAAGAAAGAGAGAACGAGAGAAAGAGAGAGAGAGAGAACGAGAGAAAGAGAGAGAGAGAACGAGAGAAAGAGAGAACGAGAGAAAGATAAAGAGAAAGAGAGAAGGAGAGAAAGAGAGAGAGAACGAGAGAAAGAGAGAGAGAACGAGAGAAAGAGCGAGAGAGAACGAGAGAAAGAGAGAGAGAGAGAACTAGAAAGAGGACGGGAGAGAGAGAACGAGAGAGAGAGAGATATTAAGTGAGTAAAAGAAGAAAAATCATTTCTCATGATAAATTTTCTAAATGAAGTCCACAACCACAATTACTCTTTAAAGATTTCCTTCCATAATAAAAAAAATCGAAAGGCAAGGACTGTAGCGTACTACATCGGTAGCTGTCAGAATCAGCCTGTTTAATATAACCTCACTTTCCCCAGAGAAATTTTAACGATTCAGGAAGGATAAGCCCCGCATAAAAAAAGATCCCCTGTTCTTGACAACATGAAAAACATTCTTCATAAAAACCTACAACAAAATGCCTTAATTCACCTAACATATTTCTTCTGATCATGATTCTTGGTATACCTATCGCTGGCTAACCTCAAAAGTTACACTCATTTTGAAACCGGGCAAGTTTCCATCCGACTGAAATAGTTATAGACTTATTAGTCAATTTAGCTCTGTCAGCAACGTAGATGAACGTGTTATGCTCACCCACATTGCTGCCTATCTAAATTAAAACAGTTTGACTCAGGCTAGGACTGTCTACTACTGCCAGGATAGTAGATGAGTAACCATAGCCTTTTATTTTACATGATTTTGATCGACACACAAAACGTCTTTGTCACTAATTTTACAGCCAATACACTGACGGGGTTTAAACTATACTCCCTACATAAAAAAATGCCACGGTGATGAAACAAGGACTTCGACCTCCTCACTCAGCCATCTACTAGACTTGAAAGCTTCTCGTACCTTCGAATTAACATGATATAAATACCACTCCTACCTCTTTTACAAACAATTCCGAGGTTCCTTTCGATCATCTCTTTCTCAACCGAAAGACAGGGCTGCTGGTGTTCCTCAATGCTCTATCCTTGGAACCATCCTGTTCTTGGTATATTTTAACACAATACCTTTAAAAAAAATGGAAAAATTGCTCTTTACGCTGACGATATTGTTCTTTATTTTTCTTCTTGGAGGATAAATACATAATCCAACTGCTTAACCTCGCAATGAGCTGCATGGGAAATTTCTGCGATCGTTGGAAAATAATACAACGGAGGCAATAGTTTTCAGCAAGTATTTGAACATTGCTGTATAACAAAGTCGAAATTTAAGGCGTGGCTGTGTTGTGGTCAAATATAATATGGCCACGATAGCTACGATTTCTGATATTTTCCCTAAAAGAAAAATAGAGTAATAAAATCATTTAATGTAACTTCATTAGGTCGCTAGAAGGAAATTATTGTAGAAGGCAATTATTGTATTCAATGATCATACGTATTACATATGTAAAATCTCAAAAATCCTTATGGTGTAAAGACGTCTTGGTTTATCGTATGACCCCTCTCATTCACTCACCCACTCTCCCTCTCATTCTCTCTCTCTCTCTCCCTCTCTCTTTCTCTCGTTAATTGTGTCATTTTCTATCTATGCCATCTGTTTTTAAATTTTTTAAAGTTTAAGCTCTCTCTCTCATTAATTGTGTCATTTTCCATCGATGCCATCTGTTTTTAAATTTTTTAAAGTTTAAGCTCACTCACTCACTCTCTCTCTCTCTCTCCCAATCAATCACTTATTCTTTCTCACACTCACGCACTCTCACTCTTACTCACCTCCTATCTCCCTCACTCTCTCTCTCTCTCTCTCTCTCTCAATCACTTACTCACTCATTCTCTTTCAATCTCACCCACCCACTTATCATCTCACCCAATCACTCTAACTTTCTTACTATCTTTCCCTCTCACTCTCACTCAAACATTTATTATCCCTCTCTCTCTCTCTCACCCTCTGTCTCCCTCTCTCGCTATGTCGTTTTCCGTCTATGCCATATTTTGTAAAAAGCACGAAGAACTGAATGAAACAAACAGGCCACCGACGCCCCTGATGGCTGGGGAATTTTTCCGCATTAATTTACAACGCTATAGACAAATGAACAATTATTGAAATAATACCCCCATCTGGTAATTTATTTAAAAATAGTTATTTTACAAAGAGTGTATTTGAATAAAGAGTAAATATAGAGTAGGTTTGGGCAGTCTTGCAGGACAAAAAGATAAAGATACACTCATTTATTAAGAACTTTTTATAAATATAAGATTATTATCATCGTTATAATTTTTTTAAAGTTACAAATAAAGTTTTCGTTATAGGAACTTATCTAAATGTCAAATAACAATCCACAGCAGCTATGTTTTATTAGCAGGTTACTTATGTACGTTAAATATATAAATTATAAAATAAGACCATACATATATTTATATTAACAATTTATTTTTATCGTAATGTAAAGCAGAAAGCGTGCATACTAACATGTAAGGGTGAAGCTAAATAAAAACCCAATGAAGTTTGTTTTACGCTTTTACATGTGCCTTGTATTTCCGAAGCCGCCATGACCGGATTGAGAAGCACCTTTGTTGTATCCCATTTGAAGATTAAGTTGTCCTTCACTTGCTCTCAACTGTTCTTCTGTAAATTCTCTCTTGTTCTCTTCAGCCATCTTTGGACCAAGCCTAGGGCCATTGTATTCTGGATGCATCTGCGTCTAAAAGTAAAATGCCAATTATACATATTTTACACGTGTATTTTTACCGATAACATCGCTGCATTGAGAAGTCGCACGTACGACTCCAAAAATAAATAACCATAATTGTTTTTATAATAAAAGTCTGGAGAAATTTGCTTTACCAGTCTTCCCAGGGCGTATAAACAGACAGTGACTTGGGGAATGTTCCTCCTCTCAAAAAGGTCGGCAGTTTGAAATATTTCTTCTTCTGGCAAACCATATTTCTTAACCGCAGCCTGAAACCTAAACATAAACAATAAGACGAGTTTGACAAATTGTCGTTACCATAATAAAAATTAGCACCAAACAATATTTAAGAGGGTCAATTATATACAACGACCGACTTTTTTTTTCAGTAAAAAAAATGTCCCGCCTGGTGATGCGTTACATTATATTTACATGGTAAAAAATTACATGGTCAAAGATAAATTAATTACAGTAAATAAAATAATAATTGAACCGTAATTGCATTTTGATATTTTTGTTTAAAAAAGATAAAGAGAAAAAAAAAAGGAAGAAGAATATAATGTCATTATAAAAATAGACCTGAGACCGCGCAACGGGAAGCGCAATCTAATGCACCTGCCAATTTAAATGAATGGAAAATTTGTCATGAGTTGTAAAAATACAACGGAAATATTAGGAGAAAAATAAAACAACGGTTAACAAACAACAAGAACACAGAACAGTTTAGGGCAAAAAGCAGAACATCCAAAACGACCCCTTCACCTCATAACCACCCTAACAATGAAGACAAGATTAAAATTGTTCGTACAAAAATAATGAAACTTGTAAACCCAAAAAAATCAGAAATATAGAAACGCAGTACATTTACGTGAGAACACGTATTAACGGTTTAGGCGTTGACACGGCGCTCGTCACTGTAGGGTAAAGGTCCCGGGTTCGAATCCAGCGGCCCTGCATTCGAACCCGACATACTTACAAATGGGCTTTTTTTCAAAAACACGGGCACCCTGAGAGTTTTGTAAGGTGACCTCTGCTGTTGCGAGCCCTCGTAAAAAAAAATAAAAATAAAATAAATAAATTTAAAAAACACGTATTAACGCTCATCATTTACGCCATTTAATACATTATGCTCTATAAAAAGAAAACGAACCGACTAACGCAATAACCGGCAGAAAAACGTCTAAAAGAAACTCGATAAAGAAAATAATACCTACACAAATCCAACACTGAAGATGATGGAATGCGATCTCTGACAGGAAAAACAGCAATAATACGCAAACCAAGTTGATCGGGAACGTTCAAACTTTCTATTGTTAGAATATATTAATTATACAGATTACTTAACAACAAGTACGCTAAGTTGTGGAAGAAATTTACAAGTTGAAAAAAAAGGAACTTTATTTCTTTCTTAAGAAATTAATATTCTGCTGTATTTGGACAAAAGTTAATGTTTGCAGGACTATTTGAAAACATTTGTGACTTGTAAATGGGAAGGAACCGAGGGTTCATTGTGGTGAGTGCGATGACGTTCAACTTGATCTAGTCTGTGTGTTACTTCTTGAGGAATTCTCGGTTTCTCTTTTCCAGAGCTCATTTTCAATTTTGATAAAGTGATTTGTCTCATAGGTCACAACAGCGTTAGGGCCGATTGGTTCAAATAACCTCGTAGTCGAAATAGAAATGATGAATGATGGAGTGAGTGCGGTGTTCAATCCTTTTTTTAAAAAGATAGTTCCTACACACAGTAAGTTGTTTTCCAACGATCCGGATTTCGAGCCCTTAGCTCATCATCAGTATGAAGGATTTCTACAACCACGTCATGAATTGCAAAAGTGAACCCGCCGATACCCCCGCCAACGCGACGTTCCAATGGAAAGCTGGTTTTTTAATGGAGCTCAATTTGAACGTGCGAAAAGCGGGAATTATAGCACAAGTAAATATTATAACGGTAAAGACTGTAAGAAATTAATTATAAATTAGTGATTAAAAATGAAAGATAAAAAATTAGAATAATACCTCAATATTATTATTATTTTTGTTTTACGAAGGTTCGCAACAGCAGAAGTTATATCAAACCTCGGGGTGCCGGTGTTTTTGAAAAAAAGCCCATTTGTAAGTATGTCAGGTTCGAATGCAGGGCCGCTGGATTCGAACCCGGGACCTTTACCCTACAGTGATGAGCGCCGTGTCAACGCCTAAACCGTTGCGGCCATCGACGCCCCCTTTTAATATATTAATTATAATAAAAATAATAACAATTAAAATAATTAATTTAATTACTTGGGCGTTTAATATTATTTATATACATACTAAAATGGGAGGTAGATCATGTATGATCATCAAATGTATTCTATTATTAATGCATTTATCTCCATGTTCAATTCTACATTTTTTAATTTCAAATTTCTCAAACCAATCTAGTTCTCTCCCTCTAGGGTCCTTCAATCCTTCAACCTGATGATGAGCTAAGGGCTCGAAATCCGGATCATTGGACTTACTGTGAGTAGGAACTATCTTTAAAAAAAAGGATCGTAGTCGAAATACCCATGTAAAAAAATTTTAATTGTAGAACAAACAATCTATTGTAGTTGTCCTAACCCTAGCTAGCTTACACGCGCAATGCAGAAAATAGACTTGTGACAACTGGATATGCAGCATATTTGTATGTATATAGCATAGTTTACATAATTTATACATACTTTGGGAGTATATGACCTCCAAATCTAGTACATGGTGTTGGTACTTTCCTTCATAAAGTATCACCTTTGTATGAAGCGAAGGAGCTGAGACTCCTTATTTCAAATGACGACAGCTTCGTAACCTTTTTTCCTTCTTTTTATGACAAGTTGCTTTCTTGGATATTTTTACATTTTGTAATCTACTTTTAAACATTGAATAGGAAATACACAACACAGATATTCATAGAACAAATGTATCTATGTACATCTGATCGGATTTGGAATGAGTTTAGTTAATTTTGAATTAATATCTTTAACAGGCTCAATTGAATTTTAGATTGGAATAAGTAGCATATTAAAAGTCTTTTTAGCACCTTTGTATGTTTTCCATCAATTGAAAGTTGGAACCACTTGTTTGTATCTTTTTGACCGAGTTCGGTGCCAATTTGTTGATGAGATGGCAAAGGACGACACCATTCCGCAGTACATCTTCGTACGGCTGGTTTGGCAGCTTTTCCCCTAACACCGCCTCAATCCACTCCAGCACCTCCTGCTCTTGTTCTTTGTTCCTCGCCTGCAAATAAATTCATTCTCATAAATTAGAACTGATAAAGATATGAGACATGATAACGTTTTGCATCTAGTAATTTCGTTTTACAAATTCAATTTAAATTGATCTGAAAAATGAAAGCCCATGGGGATATAAACTGATGAAAGAATTTTTAATCGATTCTAGTTATTTATGCTTTATATTTTACATTTCTGGCTAGAAAGACCACGATGCGTTGCCCTGCCTAGAGGGAAAACTTCTTAAAATAACACCCGAATAACCGAAGTGTAATGGTTCTTATCTATTTATGGAACGGAAACGCTTGCAATAAGAAAACCAGATTTAACTTTTCTAATCCGTTCCTTTACATTTTGACGTCAATTGTCGACGGTGAATCAAAAATTTAAATACAATGTACGTTTGATTTTCGATGCAGTCGTTTTATATATGTTAGACGTAACGTAAACCAAACAGTTAAAAAAACATTTTTTACTTATTTGAATTGAATTGAATTTAATAAATTAGTATTGACTTTCAAACGTGACGCTTTTAATAGAAATTTTGATATTTTGTAAATTACGGAAATGCATAAAATAAATCAAACAAAAGAATACCAATATGCACTATGCACTTTAGAAGCCAGTAAATCTAGGCGAAATTAATTGATCTATATATAAAGTGGGTGATTTATGGGCCGTCAAACAGTTGAGGTCATCGCCGGCCCTCTGCGTGTTTTCCTCCTTTTTTCTGGTCTTTCACGCATATTTTGTTTTAAACTGCAGCCATTTGAACGTCTCGAACCGGTTAACGTCTCTCTGCTTATATGTGTACTACGTCGATATTCAAAAATTCTCTAGCATTTCATTTGTATCTCAGATTGTCAATTACAGAATATACACAATGCATATACGTTCATTATGGCTAACATAGAAGTCTAATATCATTCTCTCGCCCCAGATATTCCTCGGGGCGGGTTGAACCCACTCCATTCTCGCTAATAAGTTACTTTTTTCTCAAGACGTCACCCGATATCCCTCGGGCGCGGTTAAACAATCTCGTCCATTCACGCTGACATGTCTATTTTAATTTTGTTAAACCTTTACATCAAAAGACGTTTTTAAGGTTCAGATTCTCTGTATTATCAAACCACGTGGTTAATGTAAGATTAAAAACATCCAGTAATTATAGAATAAACCAAACAATTTTTTATTTTTCTGTTTATTTAAATAAATTTTGTAATAAAACTTTGGTATAAAATGGAATATAAAAGTGCGAAGTTTTTAACCGCTACACAACTTTTCAAACTCGGAATCATCTCGTCATTGTTTAGGAAATAATTATAAAATATCGATGCAGCCTTGAAGCTTTCCTAAAGTCGCGGTTGTAAATTTAATTTTAATAAATTCACATAGAAATTTGTGTCGTTTTTGCACTACTTAATTTACAATAGAATTACCAACATTACAATATGGCTAATACTAATTAATGTACTACAATGTTGTTAAAATTACGCTTCATTTTCTTTGCATCATATTTATTGCATAATCTTGGCTTAATCCCATTGACGGTTTTTGTAACTAAAATATATCCAAATGTAATGAGAAGTTCTAAAAAAAATGGCGGCCAGGGCGTGGCTTTTGGCATTATTCCTTTAACTGTTCGTATAAACATCGAAATTTTGTTAAATAATTTAAGACGATCATTGTTGTGAGGTTTGTAATTAATTAATGTTACGCATAATATTTAATGTTTATAAAAAATATCGAAGTAATTCGAAAAACAGGTGTTATAAATATACATTTTTGTTTAGTTTTAAAATTGCCAATACTTAGATTGTAAATCAGTACGGTTAAGGCAGAAAGTTTATAGACGGAACATGTTCATTGTAATTAAAAACATTGATTTCTCATAAATATGTTGAATATGGTTTACTAATTTGTTTAAGTAAAATTCCATAGAAATTTTTTACATTTTGCTAGGAAGATTTGGATGGAAATTGCCACTTTTTTCTCAATTTTTTAAACATTTTAACTTTTAAACATGTTCATAATATATTTTAGTTACTTTATGACCTGACGCTTCAAAAGTAATTGTGCATGAATATTAGTTAATTAGGCAGCTTTAAACGGAATTAAATTTTACAAATTTTCGCTCTCAATTGTGGATCGAATCTCCCGACTGGAGAATACATTCGGCTAAAATATATTGATGGACGATCCATTCTCAGCGAAGCCGATATCGAACATCATCAAAATCATATTTGGTCTTTTCCCGGTGAAACTGGATACTTACCACCATTGGTTCGTTTTCTTTGGCCTAGACTCCTAGAGTACGACTACCTTTCAAAGACGCCGTCGGACTGAGGCATTTTTCGAATCCAAACCACCCCCACTTACGCTCAGCTCTCTCTCTTCGACTTTAGAAGTTTTTTTTTTCTTCTTATTTGAAACTGAGAATTTTCCTTTTGGATGGAAATACACAAAACTATGTAAATCCAACACAACCGTATAAAAATAAAGTTTAAAAAAATGTTCTTTCATTCGGAATTCTTTATTTATTAGCGTGTGCGTGCGTGTCTGTGCGCGCGTTGTGTGTTTTCGGTATTAAATTACCAAGACCATACATTATACACAAAATATCACATTTTTATTAGATATCCTTAGCTTATAATCCATAAATAATCAAGTTTCTTGTTGGTCAAAGCCTATTGCAAATTTTTAGCATATATTATTCAGTCTCATCTTATTACAATAACAAATCTATTTGGAGAATTTAAAAAATTTATAATAGTGTATTAAAACATTGAGATCATATAGTAATAAGATGCATGATGTCATAGTTTCCTCTTTGCCAAGTTTTTATTTATATAATCCGTTAAACAGTTGTCAGAACTGGACGTTTGCTCGAGCAAAGTGAAAAACTTCCTGAATGACATTCAAACGTATAAGTGACATTATGTCAGTAATCAACTAGGCAGACCCGAAATTTTCACAAATTTCAGCTAATTCTGTCGTTGAAGTATGGCCACTATGTACCCTCATTGTTTCAGCATCTTTTGGTTTTTGAGCAATCTCATAAGGTTTACATTGTCGCAGGTTGCGGGAAAGAGAGACCCGGAGCAGGAACTTGAAGCGCAACAATGGATTGAAGCAATTACTGGAGAGCGTTTTCCCCCAGGTACGTTTTTCCTATGAACAAGAATAATTTTATATTTAACAATAATAATCATTTCTTTCATTTAGAAATAATTTTTAGTTTTATCACTTAAAAATCAATCTTTTTTCAACATATACAATTTTTGTTCATATCACTACACTTTAAAAAATCTTTTATTTGGTTTTTAACAAACAACACAAAAAATGTATAAAATTTTCTGAATAAAATAAAAAATAAAATAAAATAGTAAAAGAAGTTATAGGCCAAATTAAAAAAGTACTATATAAATTTGTAAATACTTTTTGTGACATTTCTCCAAACCCATGCCATAGCTATACAAATTTTGATTTATTTTGTTTGTTTTAATTTTATTCTAATTTAAATAAATTATATACATATCATAATGATTAAAGTAATTACTTTCATTAATAGGACCAGCTAAAAAAACCTATAATAGATTAATATAATAAACAAATTTAAAAAAAAATTGAGCATTATAGATTGCCATTAATAGTACAATCTATAAAATAACAAAGAAGGTTGAAATTTTACTTATGTCAATTAATTATGTTATATATATAAAATTTCTTAAAATGTCTTTTAAGTCAAATTCTTTTATGTTTTAAGTCAAATTCTTTTGTCACAGGAGTGCCATACGAACTAGCCTTACGAGATGGAATTATTCTTTGCAAATTAATGAATAATTTGTTGCCTGGCTCTGTCCCAAAAATCAATTATACTGGTGGGGATTACAAATTTATGGACAACATTAACCAGTAAGAAAATCTGTAATTCAGTAGCATTAAAATAAATAAAATGTATAGTTGTAATTGTATAAGTTCAGTTTTTGAAAAGGTAAAAGACTTGAACAACCTGAATGCAATTTTACAATGTGTATTTGGTTATGTACAGTGTATATGTAAACTGAATGTTTCATATGCATTTAAGTTTAATATTCTTAATTTCGTTTTATCAATCAATTTTGAAAACATTGTTTTTGAATCACCTCCCTAACAAATGCAAGTTAAAACATGATTTTAATATCACATACCTTATTTAACATGCACACACAACTTACATTTGCAAATAAATTCATTTATAAAATTTCATATAATCATTTCACCCTGCAAGGCATTCAAATTAAGAGTTAAACATACATCATTACCCAAGCTTCACTACTCCTATATTGTGAAAGTTCTGATGTTTCCTGATACTAGATACACAAAAATAACATCGTTGGCGGTCATAACGACTAATATTTCATGGTTCGCTTACTGGAAATATTTGTTTGAAAAGTACAACTTGCCCTTCCTCGTGTCCTCAGACAACCTCTATGACTGGCATAATTATTTTTCAATTCATATTAATCAAATTAAAAAACAACATCACGAAGAATGCCAGTCACGTGTCCAAGCATCTACGCACCTCACACTTTACAAGGAGGTACAAATTTCTCCTGCATTGTTCGACCTACATGAAGATAATTTTGAAGGTCTTTGTCTCAATGAGTTGCGATGGCATTTAAGCTAAGAAGTGAGGTTTTGCACTTAAACTCGGCAGTTTGGATCAGAGGGGATTTGGGAATCTGTTCTTTGTGTAATTCGCAGTCTATTGAAACTCTATTACACTTCTTGGCGGAGTGCTCATCCCTAGGTGAGATTCAGTTGTTGCATCTCAGATGTTTCACTCTCCCGAGGGTTGACCTGTTACGGTTTTTGAGTGGCTCAAATTTGCGGCCCTTAATTCGTTACGGTAGGCATGCATGGAACTACAGATATGAGTTAATTAAGTTGTTTAATTTTTGATTTGTGTTGTACAACCTGTTTTTCTATTCTCTCTTTCGTATTTTAACAGTTGTTATTTTTCCTTTTTTTTCATTTTATTGCCTAGCTATAACTTTTATCTTATTTTATAGTGTATTTTTCGTTTCTGATTGTTTAATCAACGACCTCTGGCAGATGGATCCAAGATCCATGTCCTTAAATGCTTTGAAATCAAAATTGTCTTTTTTCCTTTCTTAAGTTCAATAAAGTATTATTACTATTATTAAATTCACTATTTTTCGTGGTCCGCTTCACCAATTATTATTATTATTATTATTACATCATCACCCGTTCCCTTACCCTTCATTATGTTCCTATCTACATACGTACTATTCATTCAAGTAGGGAAAGTATTCCACATTTCTCCATCGCCTTAATGTTAATATTTATTTTTTATTTAATTAATACTGTATAATTTGGTACAATGATAAAGACAAATGTAACTCAAAATGTAAAATATAATAAATGTGTAAACTTGTAAACAATTCAACATTGTGCCTGCAATATACATATATTGTAACCCTAATTGTTATTATTAATAGGTATTAGGATGAATGAAATTGATATATATATACTTTTTTTAGTTTGTATGGTAATTTTAAAATTTTCAGATTTCAGAAAGCTTGCATAAGGTATGGGGTCCCAGACGTAGACCTGTTTCAAACAGTCGATCTTTTTGAACAGAAAAACATTGCACATGTAACCATGACAATCTTTGCTATTGGAAGAACGGTAGTATTTTTTCTTATTCGCTATCATTTCTATCAATATTTTAACAATTCATAAAAACGTTAAAATAAACATAATTTCAGGCATATAAGCATCCTGAATGGAAAGGCCCCTGGTTGGGCCCAAGGCCGTCAGAGGAGAACAAAAGAGAATGGAGTGAGGAACAGCTCCGTGCGGGAGAGGGTGTAATCGGTCTCCAGGCCGGACAAAATAAGGGTGCCACTCAAGCCGGTCAAAACTTTGGTGCCACTCGCAAAATCTTACTTGGAAAATAGATTTTAAATGTTTACTTTTATAATTTGTTCTTTAACATCCTCTTCACTTATGACAATTGTCCAAACATGAAATAAAAACAAAAGCAAAATATATATTTTTTTTTTTAAATGTGAAACTAATGATATAAATATGATTGTTTTGTGTGTTAAGTTTTCCTTTTAAGTATTAAAAAGTGAAATGAAGGAGTAAACTAAACATTGGAAGTGGGGATAGTTTGGTTAAAAATAGTTATTAATTTTCCTGTACTATTTATATTTTATGTACAGAAAAAAGAAGCCGTGGTAAAAAAAGGAATACTAACATTTACGATTCGCAATGATAAAATGAAAAAAAAAACCGCAATGAAGAGATAAAAAAAGATTGAGGGCCAAATTACCGTCCTTGTGAGCAAATGAAGGTTAAATAGCTGAACAGCAGTAGTAAGAAACAGTTCAAGTTCCAGTTTAAATTTTGGCAATTCTTTATAGCAGACGGTTTAAAATGTTAATATTAAATTAACTTAAATAAGTGATCGAGAAGGGTGTAATTTCTGAATAATTAACTACTTTTATTTGTTTATTTATTTTTTAATACAGACGTCGTGTAAAACAAGAATATTACAATAGTAATTGAAGGAGACGAATAGCTTAAAATCACAATTTCAAAGATTTAACAAAAAATATAAAATAAACCATAATTTCTTTTTCTATCTTCTTGATCAACACATATACTTCTATATGAAAACAAATATTTATTTTTTTTTTTTCTCGATTAACATACGTATGTCAATTTACAAAATATCTAATTTTTCGATATTATGATATACAGTGAAATAGAATAGAATTTGTTTCTTAGAGTAAAGTTACGTCATGTAACGCATCACAGCTCGCAGTGCGTAAAGTAATTCTGCCTGCATCCTTGCTTCAAGAATCATAATATTCACATGGACCTAAAAAACATAACGAGTTAAGAAGAGTATCACATAATTGAAATGATTGCAATATTGGAAGCTAGAATCGTACTGTAAGTTCTGAATAACTTAGTTAAGATTTATAATTTACTATGCAGATTAGATAGATGGAAAGAGAGAGAGAGAGAACGAGGGATTGATTGATTGGTAGCGTTTTATTTAAACATGTAGAATTAGGTCTCATGGACTTCTCTTACATCCAACATGGATTATAATTTACATATAAACATTATAATATAAAAACATTAAAAAATCTTTATATAACAATAAAAAATTATCCATATATAATTACACTATATAAGTAACCATAGTGTGTGTGAGAGAGGGACACTCCCTCATTCACTCTCCCCCTCTTATCTGAACAGAACTATAATGTAACTTCTGAATAACTTCGTTAAGGCTTATAGTTTATTATGCTAATTACATAAATATATGCAAACCTTTTCACTATGTTTAAACTCTCGAAGTACCCTGTCATAATCTGCTTTCCTCACTCTTTCCGGATAACAACAAGCCGATTTTATGAAAGCCTTTAATGACCTTTCTAACAGTTGATTAACTTCTCCATAATCATAGTCATCATGTCTGTAATAAAATATAAAATTATATTCAACTTTTAGACTTGGTGTGTTCACATTCATTTACCTTATTCCATACATGCACTGGATATAATTCCAAATGGCCCTACGGAATCGAGAAGTATCGACATCTTTCCGTCCTCCCATTGTATAATACGTTAAGTTGTAAGCCGTTTTAAATTTATCATCTAACAGATTTCCAACATCATTGTACAGCCTGTTGACTAGAGAGAAACCCTGGTCATCCCAGGAATAGTCCTACCAATTAGACAAAAAACAAAAAAATTACACATCCTATATTAACAATTACAGTCATAATGGCAAATAGTTTGGTTGTGTAGTCAGTTAAAACTTTTATTGCTTGAAAGAATTGTCAAATATTGTATAATTATGCTTGGTACAGTAAGGTAAAAATACTGCACATATTTATTACAGTGCTTGGGCATTTTATCAATTTAATAATAAATGTTTTATTATCCATACTGGCTGATACTGTTTTGTTTTGCCTGTTTAAAACGTTATATAATTTTATTTTTCTTTGTGTATTTCTTTGTTTTTTACAAAAGAAAAATTTATTATTTTTGTCTTAAATATATGAAACAACACATACACAAGCAATGGCATACGATCACACAATTAATTATAAAGTTAATAAGTTAACAGAGTGAAATTAAATTCCTTAATTATTATTAGGCAGATGCTCTTCTCATTTATGACCAAATATTTTTTGTTACCATAATAACAATGAACAATACTCCTCTTTCCTTATCTGAACTACAGTATTTGAACACCCCAGTATGCCAGATAGGAAAAAATTCAAGACATCAGAATTTTAAAGGAAACAAATGAAGAGTTATTTAGTGGTAAGGGGGAGGGGTGAGGGAGAGGGAGAGGGGAGAGAGAGGGAGTGGGAGGGGTGAGTGAGTGAGTGAGTGAGTGAGTGAGTGAGTGAGTGAATGAGTGAGTGAAATTGAGAGAAAAAGAGTGAGTGAGATTGAGAGAAAAAGAGTGAGTGAGTGAGATTGATAGAAAAAGAGTGAGTGAGTGAGTGAGTAGTGAGTGATTGAGAGAGTGAGTGAGAACGTGTTTAATCCATTGATGGTTGTAAATTTTTGGGAGTTTGGTATGCCACAACGTGTTCAAGGCCAATAGATANGAGAGAGAGAGAGAGAGAGAGAGAGAGAGAGAGAGAGAGAGAGAGAGAGAGAGAGAGAGAGAGAGTGAAGAAGGGTCAACCCTCCCGATTAAGAATAGGCTGTCAAGGTGGACACACAGACACTTGGTATGGTGGAAAAGGTTACTAGGAAGTGGGGTTTGTATTCCCCAGGCACTGCAGCCTTCCGGCTTATTGTACCTTCCAAGTTCCTTAGTTCAGTCAATAGACTCAATCCTTCTTCTTAGAAGTATCAGGTCTTTGACTGTTGCTGCTGCAATTTGATTCCACCTTCATTGAGCTGTTGCTTCGCATTTGAAAATGATATGAGTGGCTGTTTCCTCCTCCTCATTACTTAATCTGCAAATGGGATCATCGCTGTATATACCTATGTTGTGTAGATGTTTTCTCAGATACCAGTGACCGGTTAGTAGTCCTACCACTCCTCTGAGTTTGGCCCTCTCCAATTGCAGCTGTGTTTTTGCCAGTCTCGGAGAGGGTTGTTTCATCATAAGTTTACTATGTCTAGCATCGCTAGAGTTTATCCACTTCTCCTTTTGTTTTGTTTGGATCCATTCTGCAATGGAGGATTCTATATTTGTTTTTGTTATCCCAAGAATAGGTTCGGGGCCTATGTATGGTCTTGCAGATCCTCCTCTGGTCAGTCTGTCTGCTTTCTTGTTGGATAACAATCCAATATCCAAAATTCCCCTGTGCCCTGGCACCCAAGATATCATCAGGTTGTTGTGTTTTCCCAGGTTTTGGAGATTTTGGATGCATTCACTGACTAATTTTGATGTGATTATTTTACATGCTAATGCTTTAATAGCTGCTTGGCTATCTGATCTTATGAGGATTTTTTTGTCAGTGTAACCTCTTTTAAGATTTTCAATTTTGGGCCAAAGCACGCTTATGTGTCCGGCATGCAGAGAAAGATTGCTCGTTGTGTCCCACCTAATGGCTGCAATTCCTTGGCTCTTTATACAGAGCCAGCAGGAATGCCACCTGATTTGAGAATTGTGCTTTAGCATGGCAAGGAGTATTTGGTTCCCCTATTCTGATTCTTGGAGAAAATGGGGTTGTTCTGTTGTATATAGTAATAATAGTTGTGTGGAGAGTGATGTTACTTGTTAACATGAATGTGTGATGTGAGAGGGTCGAGTAGGTCAAGTAACCTATCGAACCTCAATTAGGTTAGTTGTATAATATGTGATGAAGGTGATGAAGGAATATCGAGAACTCCACCACCCTAATTGAATTAATAGTGTGTAAATAGGAGTATTTAAGAATAAAGGTGTGTACGAATGGGTTTAGAACTGCATGCATTGTGTGCTGAATTGACCTAGCTGTTGACACCCCCCCCCTCAAGCCTTGGTTTGTCCAGATAAAACTGTGGTCTGCCACCGGACTACCAATATCTGGGGGGGGGGGGTTTCTCGAGTCTACTGGCAATTTACTCGTAGTGGATTATGAGAAGTGAATAGACTGAACTAGGCACATTTTTATATGTATGTTTATGTATTATTTGAGCCTATATAGATCCAAATCCTTTCAAACCGTCATAATTAAATAATTTTATGAAAATTCATGAATTTCTGATCTTGATTAATTTAGATTACATTAAAATAAGTAGAAATGGTGAATGATGGAATGAGTGCAGTGTTCAATCCTTTTTTAAAAAGATAGTTCCTACTCAGAATTGTTTTCCAACGTCCGGATTTCGAACCCCTTAGCTCATCATCAGGTTGAAGGATCCTTGGATCATTGGAAAACAAATTACTGTGAGTATAAACTATCTTTTTTAAAAAAAGATTAAAATAAATATGTTGCAATTAATATAATGATAAAATTACATACAGTTTGAAATAAACCACAAAATAGTGTTGTACAGTTTTTTTTGTCTTTGAGTTTATTATAAATTAACAAATTCTAGTTTTTAGGTATTACAGTAGGTTAGTGCAAGTACATTGTTCTAATATAATGTCTCGGACTAACAACACAACACCCATACATTATCAAACATGTGTACCTGAACCCGAAATGTAGGTATGTCACAAGTTTCTCCTCTTCTGGCAAAATCCTCATACAGGAACATAGGGTCATCCACAAATTGACCTATACTTGGTTTAGGTTTAAGACTATTTTTATCCGACGGGGAAAGTTCAATGCTTTGTGACTCCACTCTTTCAAACCTTTTGGCCATCTCGGACTCAGAACATTCTTCAATTCGCTCCGAAAGAGATTTCATTCGTTCCATAAGTGTATCAACACCTACCTCCACTTCATTCCATCCTTCTATAAATATTACTAAGTGAAATTCAACTTTCAAATAGGAGAGTTATCAAATTATTTATTACCTTTTGAAATGTTTCCATTGAGATTGGTAGGAGTAGCTTTCACGCTTGCGGCTTGTTCCTTGGTGGAACCGTTCTCTTCTATATCTTCGCTCATTCCACAACCAAACACAAAACTGGACAGGCTGTGAAAATGTGCTAGGAGAACGATGGCATGTACAACTTCCGCTAAGGACCAACTATCTTCGGAACCACGTGTAAGTTTCTACAACAATTAAGACGTTCAATGTAAATATTAATTTTTTAATTTTACCCCCAATGATATAATGTAAATTAAAAATGTATTAAATATGATCAAAAATACCATCTTACAAGATGATTTCAAATCACTAAAATAATCACGTCTTACTTGGTTGACTTTAAGAGAAATACATTGAATGTTATATATAATTTTAAATTGACATAATTAAGTCCTACCATTTATTATAAACATTTAGTTTCCTATGAGACATGAAATTAAATAATAAAAATACAATTTAGTTACTTGAATGTGAGTCTTGTTGAGGAGCCATGGCCGATGAGCAAGAACTTTATTGATTTCATAGAGGTCCCTCAACTTCTGTGGTATATGAGATAAGCCCCTGAGCCAACCCTGGTCCCCACCTTGGAGTAGGAATTCCTGTTTTTGAGAGTTGATCAAATAACTACATTGATGCCTACCTGCAGCCTAAAAATAAGGAACAAAAAACAATGTTCAATTTTTATCATAATTATTAATGAGTGTGATAATGATTTCCTACCCAGCAATAAAGGTCAATAATAAACAAACTTATTTTATCAAGTTTTTAAAAAAGAAACTGGAAAATGTGAGAACTTACCATGATGGCAATGAAATGCCTATAGTCGTAAGGCAGAGGGCCATCACCTTTTAGAATAAAATGTTGAGTCCTGAGAAAGATCTCCAAATAAGTCGGGTGATAACCCATTATTTGGGTGATCTCATCATCTTTATTGTTTTGGAGAAAAGCGTCAATGAACAACATATGTGACGCCTGAAATAAAAAGTTTCAAATTAATAGTTTGTTAAGCCAGGTGGTTCTAAAAATGCTGAAAAAGCCAAATGTCATAAATTAACGGCAAGATATCACACTGTGCACTGGAAACAGATACATTTTTATTCCAATTCAATTACAAGAACGTGAGTGTTTCTTCCTTTAAAAAAAGTTGTTAATTCAAGATTTGAAATGAATAATTCATTAAAACGCCCCTAATTCATAAAACTTGTTATAAAATGTCATCCATCTTTATAATAATGCAAACTTAAATCCATAATACTATTTCTATTTCAAAACTGAAATTTGATGGTCAAAAAAATGCCTACAACATACTTGCACAGATATAGGTGCTGTAACATCTGTGCACTAAAGAATATTTAAAATTGAAATTTACAGAAAAAAAGGACTGTTGCAAAAGATGCAATTGTGAAAGAAATCAAAGCAACTCGGAATTTGCTATGAATTTTGCTAGTGGAAATTATGACAAACTTAATTAACTATACTTTACTAAATACCTAATTAATTTAGTTATCTCTATTAACCTCAAATCTCAAATAGTTTTTTGTTTTAATCTAAGTGTTTAAAACATAGTAAGTTAATTCTTTCTATAAATTCCATAGTAAGTAAAATATTTCCTGACATACAGGAGGGCTGACTTAACACCCCATCTCTCGCACTGGATGTCTTGGGCAAATTCCATAGTGTTTGATAAGTAAAATAAGGCCGTATCTATAAATAATTATAGAAAGCGAAGTTCAAGTACGGGGTATGAGTAAAAGAAACTATCTTATCTCGAAGATAAGGGTCCAAAGGGCTAGGCTATTAATAACTGGCAAACATGTTCTACAACAATTATGCTTAGAACTTAATGCTTTTTCAATGAGCGTCTACTGCAGCGGATATTCTTTCACTAGAAATTATTTTATCATTAGTTTCTATCAAAGTAATAATAAACAGAATTATCAGACTATTTAATGATATTGATACATAATATTATATAATTATATTGGTAATAGCTCAGATAATTTTCTGTTATGTCAGGCTAATTTAAGAAGCTATTTTTGTCTACTAAGAAGCTAAGTTTTATCCATAATTCAGATTAAAATATCAATTCACTATTTATCACTTATTTAACATGTTTAAAATGGAGTGTGATTTATCAGTACATTTAAGTAATAAAAAATGGGCTTGGTTTTGTTGCTCCAAGCATGATGCAACATGTTCCAATATCTGCGGGTCTTACCGCGATCATTCAAATCGATTAATTACAAATTGCAAACAGATAAAAACACTATTAATTACCAACTAAATTCATATTATTCAGGAAAGTTCTAATTTGTATATCCTTTGAAATCGATGTGTTGTTACATTTATTTATCACTCGTCCCTAATCCCAACTTTGGTACACCGGACTGGAGTACTGGAAAAAACTTCAAGAAAGACTTTCGAAGGAAACAAGTAAAACATTTTATGAGGAGGGAGGGAAAGAGAGAGAGACAGGGGGGAGTGAATGAAAGAGTGTGTGAGAAAAAGAAAGAGAGAGGAGTGAATGAAAGAGTGTGTGAGAAAAAGAAAAGAGAGAGGAGTGAATGAAAGAGTGTATGAGAAAAAGAAAGAGAGAGGAATGAATGAAAGTGTGTGAGAGAAAAGAAAGAAAGAGAAGTGAATGAGGGAGTGTGTGAGAAAAAAAGAAAGAGAAAGGAGTGAATGAGGGAGAGTGTGTGAGAAAAAGAAGAGAGGGTGAGAGACAGGAAATAATGATGGTGGGGGAGGGGTGGGGGAGAGAGAGGGAGCAAAAGAGAGAGAAGTGAATGAGTGCTTGAGATAGAAAAAAAGAGAGAGAGAGGCCAATGAGAGTGCTTGAGAGAAAAAGAAATAGAGAGGAGTAAATGAGGGAGAGTGTGTGAGAAAAAGATAAGAAAATAAGAAAAAAAGAGAGAGAGAGAAAGAGAGAGAGAAAGAAAGAGAGAGAGAGAGAGAGAGAGAGAGAGAGAGAGAGAGAGAGAGAGAGTTCTTGAGAGAAAATAAAAGAGAGAGGAGTGAATGAGTGCTTCATAGAAAAAGAAAGAGATGTGAATGAGAGTGCTTGAGAGAAAAAGAAAGAGAGAGGAGTGAATGAGGGATAGTGTCTGAGAAAAAGAAGAGAGGGTGAGAGACAGGAAATAATGATGGTGGGGGAGGGGTGGGGGAGAGAGAGGGAGCAAAAGAGAGAGAAGTGAATGAGTGCTTGAGATAGAAAAAAAGAGAGAGAGGAGTGAATGAGTGCTTGAAAGAAAAAGAAAGAGAGGTGAATGAGAGTGCTTGAGAGAAAAAGAAAGAAAGAAAGAAAGAAAGAGAGAGAGAATGAATGAGTGATGATGAGTGAGGGGGTTATACAAAAGACCAAGACCAGCTTATTAACACTATATGAATTTTCAAAATTTTTTTGTACAGTGAATCCCTTGCCTCCCTTCACTACTAAAAAATTAAATGTTACAACAGTCTACATTTTTCTTACTTTAAGTATACCTACTGGTTAAAAATGAGTGAGATATAGGATAAAGCAATGAATAAAATAAATTTAAAAAATGAAATTTTTTAAATGAAAAATTGACAGTATATGTATATTTTAATAGGTTTAACGTTTTACATACGCAATAATAATTGTTTTCAATTAATTAATCTTTAATTAAGGTTTTGGTTGAGAATAATTAAGTGAAAATAATGTATTTGGTCAATCAGACCACGAAACCTAATAGAAGTAATAATAGTGTTGTGTTGTGTAATGTGTAGTGTATTTTTTTGTTGTATATGTATTGTATATTAATGTATCTTTCATAAAAGTTAATTCATAAAACAACTTTATTTTAGTTTACTATTTTGGATAGTTAGGTCGTGGTAAATATTTCTTATATGCAGAAAATCATGTATGTCTTATAATTAGGCTTATATATCAACAAATAATCAAATTATGTTTTTCTTAATAAATATGTATCTTAATTTTTTAACAGTATATAATTAATGCATGCCCGCTTTTAAATCCATCAATCTTTGTGGCTTCAATCCAGTATTATTATTATTCTACCCACAATTCAGACTTGATTTCTTTGGGATGTAAAATGTAAAACAAATTTGAAAACCCGTACAGACAGCAACGATAAAGACATCTTAAAAGAAAGTTTTAAGTTTCGATGGATTACTTTTTCGGGATGGTTAGTATAAAACAGGCACGAACACGACCTGGAAGAGCTAGGATTCTTTTTCTGATCTTTCTCTACACGATTGTCTACTCGGTCCCAAAAAAGAAAGCTATGTCGCCCTAGAATTTAATCTGGATAAGTCAAAGGGCTCCACTGTATCTTAGTGCGTTTTCCGCATCCTACGCAAAAAGGGGGGAAAATTTCATCATAAAACTCTATTCGCATGAAGGTCCACAGACACAGTACACATAGTCGAGAACAATTGAATAGATGGATATGTATTCTGTCCGAAATTTCTCATAGATAATAACTTTAAAACAAATTTCATAAAAACAAACCCGTGTAATTTTATTCCCATCGTAAATGAAAAATTTTCTATCAAAATGCCAGTGTCGATAGCACGTGCCCATCCATTCGAAGCACAAACGCCAACGGCTTCTGACGATTTCCTATTCAATTTGTACCAAAACTAGGAATAAATGTGCCATTTATTATTTTAACTTTGACGTAGGAACAAGGATAAATTACGTCTAGTGATCTTCCAATATTGGAGAGAGATTCAATTAATAAACGAGACCTGTTTTACAGGCACACTCACATGGAAACGACCTATTTTGGTTTTGTCTCAGGCGATATCCTCTATTCCAACTAGATTTAATTTATTGCATAGGTCTTCCCCCTCTTCTGACTTACCGCCTGACCTCGGTGGAGACTAACAAAACAAAATTCCGATCTTGTGCTCAAAACATGGATATGTCAACGAATGAAACATGCGCCTATGTTCAGCATTTTATTACCAACGACTAATAACGTTAACACTGATAATAAACCTAATCGATTTTTATCTTCGTTTATATTGAAACTGGAACGCTTTTGTTTCTACAAATTTTCACTTATATATACACTAGAAACGTATAATCTGATCAGCGGACGCTTGCACGCAACATACATGGATACTATCAATAAAATAATCATAAACATATATCTAACATATAACAAACGTTAAAGCTGAGAAACACGGCACATTTCTAAACGGTGTAGTAATTTATTTATTTATATACGGCTCCTTGTACAAAAATATATAAATGTATTACAATAATTACACATAACACATATGGTGTTATTTATAATAATATTCATATGGATAGAAGATAAAGAAAAAAATTATATATGATAAATTTGATGAATATGCATGGTGCATCAACTTCTATAGTCCACCCATTTAATTCGGAAACGATTAAAAAAATTTTATACAAACCTCAAGTTAATTTTGGCTTAGGAATCGCGTAGTGGTATCAGATTTATCGTAAATTTCTCATTTAGCTGGGAAATGACACTAACTTTGTTATTTTGTATGAGAATGCCATATTTTTGTGGTACAATTCGATTCTAGGGCTTGTTTTATGGCATTTTTATTGAAAGGAAAATTTTTATAGGATCGACCATTTCTGAGTTATGCCCGACGGAAGAAGCGTGAAGGGGTATGCTTTTTGCTTACCCCTCACGCGTGTTCCGTCGGGCATAACTCAGAAATGGTCAATCCTATCAAAATTTCCCTGTCTAGGAATAGCGTGGTAAAGCTTATTTTATGCCACTTTTATTGAAAGGAAAATTTTGATAGGATCCACCATTTCTGAGTTATGCCTGACAGAAGAAACGTGAGGGGTGGTATGCTTAGTGTAACAAGATGGCCTACCCCGTCTATTTCGGGAACGGTCAATTTTAGCAAAAATGGTCTTAGACAAAACCCAAGTTAATTTTGGCTAGGTATCGCTTGTTAAAGCTTATTTTATGCCACTTTTACTGAAAGGAAAATTT